TGAAGCACCCTGCCGTTTCCTGGAACCTCATCAAACCAGAGTCGAGACCCCAATCCACCATTAACTCACCAGGAAACCCAGCACGCCTCGTCCCACTTGGCCTTGATCCTCCGCTTTGTAAAAATGGCTGTTTGTCATAAAATGCAGATTTGGCCCAAATATCCTGCAGCTTCCTGGATCAGCCTCCATTAAGACACCCTACCTGTGGCTCTAAAACGTATGCAATATAGCAAACGATAAGAAACCAGCTCACTTTTGCTCTTAAGCTTGCTTTTGATCTTTCTTGTACTGTATCCAATTATCTCATAAAGCAAAAAATAGCAAAATGTGCTGTTTTCTCATAATTGGCTTACTTTTATTAATTGGATACACACTCCACTGCAGCAATCCCTGAGTTGTACAGTATGAGTGGGCCCAGATTGATGACCTGTGTTGGGTTGTTTTTTCATGTACATTTTAGTGTACAGTTCTGTATACTGTCGCCACATAAAAATATGTGATTTAGCACTACATTTGATTACAAACTAGATAACCTTTTCTATTGGTTGAATCATTTTTACATTTCCTAGTACTGGTATTTGAAGTAACTTTTGAGACCATTTTTATTCTAACATTATTGGGAGCCTAATTATTATGATTATAATCAATCCTCCTTTTTTTCTTTCACATGCCCTATTGGTCCATCTCCATTATCACAAAACGTGCAACAAATAGTGTTGTGTCCTTCACTTTTTTTCACTGTTGGCTGGTTTACATCACACCAGAGTTCCTAGTTTGACAATCTGAAATTAACCTGGGAAAATGGTACTTGTTAAGTCTGGTTTATACTTGACGTGTCCGCTAGTTCGCTTGAGTGCGCACGGCAAATGTCATTGATGAGTTTGCGGAGGTTCGCTTTGGGTGCGCACGGCATGATTTCAGCAGGCGGAGCGGAAGGTTTTTTATATTTTTTATTTTATTTTTATTTTTTTGAGCTAACAGTGCCTAGAGCCCACATTTGATTTGAGTTAAATATGACACCCTTTGTCTGAAACAGGTACGCCTGTACAGACATCTTTATGATCCGTAATCATACAGATATCCAGATGATCAATAATTCTTGGCTAGAAATTGCAACAGCAGTGGGAAAAGAGTAAAGATTTTGTTAAAAGGTTTGGAAAAACATGAGAGATAAGGTTGTTATAGCTAAAAGAGACCATGGCAAAAGTGCAGACCCCGGTACACAATTACAGAAATATGTTTTTCCACCAGTCAAAGGTTTTACACTGATGTATATATTACAATTTTAAAACAATTTAATAGTCACAAAACTATAATCGAGGAACAATTTTTTTATAACTGGAAAGGAATATACAATGCGTTTGGTGTATCAGTAATTTTTAGTAAGTCAACTTTTTTGGCTTTTATTCTTGCCGCAAAATTTTTTTTAGAGCAACCCATGCTCTGCTGTCAGTAATACTTTAATGAACTCTAATAGGTAGAACTGTCCGAGATATAAACAAAAGCAAGTGATGCATCAAAGTTTGATTTTAAAAAAATTCTGAATGGTTATAAAAATCCTTATAATTATTAAAATAATTTATAAATATTAATTAAAAATCTTGAATGATATTTTTGATAAGATGTAGATCCGGAAACTTCCTACTTCTCTGTTTATCAATCTGATTTTACAGTCAGTTTCATTCGACCAAAATCTGTTGTTTTAAAGAATATCACAATGATGGACGCGGCAAGTATACAAGCCTCGTCCGTTATGCAAGGTGCGCACGGAGCCAGTGGAGGTGTGCGGTGCGGGGCCAGGCGAAAATATAAATCTAGCTTCAGAATTGATGTTAATTTAGAATTGATTGAATTGGGTTGAATTGAATTGAATTGAATAGAATTGTTGAATTAAGTAGAATTGTTAGAATTGAGTTGATATAATTCTGTGTTTTGGTTTCTTTTTCTTTGTTAAATGTTTTGATGATTGGAGTGTGACTTGAGTGTAGTTTATGCTTGGCATTGTTTTATTTAAGCCTGCTATGTGGAGTTTATTGTGGCCGCTGCTCAACTGTTTGCCAGATATTGTGGCATTATTACGACTTGTTGAACATTCTAATTTGGCATCGTAGCCAAACTCTTAAGCCATATAACTCTCTTTAGCCATCCCTTAATCTGTTATTAGTCAGAAATAAGTTGGGGGAGATCATTGAGATGTACTTGAGCTGAAACTCTCCTCTCGCCCTGCAAACTAATGGGAGGATCGACTTGAGGATCTTACAAGCTCAGGGGTCTCTCCCGCAACAGTAAACCAAACAAGCTTATTATTGATCATCAGCTAAGTGTGAACTCCTAAAATATTGATTTGCTGCATGGTCTTTCTTAGTTACATCATTGTTACAGGTGTAACGTATGGAGACTTTTTTTGGGATTTTAACCCAGGACATCTCATTAATTCACTTGAAGTCAGAATTATTACCCCCCTTTGATTTTTTTTTTTTTTCTTTTTTAAATATTTCCCAAATTATGTTTAACGGAGCAAGGAAATGTTCACAGTATGTCTGATAATATTTTTTCTTCTGGAGAAAGTCTTATTTGTTGTATTTTGGCTAGAATAAAAGCAGTTTCAATTTTTTAAAAATTATTTTAAGGTCAAAATTATTAGCCCCTTTAAGCTATTTATTTTTTCAATACTCTACAGAACAAACCATCATCATACAAAACTTGCCTTATTACCCTAACCTGCCTAGTTAACCTAGTTAAGCCTTCAAATGTCACTTTAAGCTGTATAGAAGTGTCTTGAAAAATATCTAGTCAAATATTATTTACTGTCATCATGACAGATAAAATAAATCAGTTATTAGAAATGAGTTATTAAAACTATTGTTTAGAAAAGTATTGAAAAAATTAACATTCTGACTTCTGTATGTAACCTAATGTAACGTCTCTTAGCACATGCTTTCTGCATTTGCTGTTAATGAAATGACCATCTATATCAGTAGATTATTATTGTTCAGAAGGTTTATGTTGTTTTTTTTTAAGTCAAAAAGAGAAACAGAAACGTGGACTGCAGATATATACAAACCATAAACAAAGCAGACCTCACTTTCCATTTTGAATATTACATTAATCACTTTATTTGTTTTAGACATCTTGGTTTGTTATAAAAATAGTAGTGTGGTATTTAGTGCTCTGGAAAATAGAAGCAACATTAGAACGTAATCTTGATAGATCTTGCGTTTATTCTTTTGCTCTCATTCACTAAACTGAACTTTCATTAAGAGTAATCATAAATAAATTGCCTGAAATTGCTGAATTAGGCCAACTGCCACCGACCTGTGGAAAATACTGCAAAAAAGTGTCAGATGCTCACTGATGGCCCATTGTTAGCCTGTTGTGCCACAGTCAAAAGCATCATTTAATTTGACATAGTGGACTCTCAACAGGTTCTTTCCTGCCAGGGTCATGTTTCAGAGCTGTGAAATGGCTGACATAAGCCAAACCAAGCACACCACTTAGTACTAAAAGGCCAAGCACACTGGTGGATTTAACTAGACCTCCATAGGTACAATTTTTATTAATCAATATATAAATTTAAAGGTTTCAGGATTCTCTTTAAAGGGTTAATTCCTATCATTTATTTACTATGATGTTATTGAACACATATTCTTAATAAAAGTATTTAAAATCTTTTTTTTTTTTTTTCTGTCTGTTCATTGATAACAATTTAATCTTCTGAAGAAACACTTGCTTCAGAGCCCATGTTCGCAGCATTCAGATTTTGGTTACTGAAGCTCAATCACAAACCAATTAAGATTAATCTTGTGTCACATGGCAAGTTTGAGTTTGATTCTTTGGATTTGTCCTTGTTGATCATGCAGGTATGATTAAGCTTCTGTTTACGCTTGCTGATTCTTTTTTTATATGTCTATAAAAGCCTAAATTAAATCTGTTCATAATATAAAGTGATCTTTTACAAAAACAATTTGATTTATATGGAATTATTCCTTCATTACATCTGAAATCGTTTTAGAGTTTGTCTCAAATAGACTTCAAAAAGGAGAGCAGCAACAGTTATGGTGTTTTTAAGGTCTTAAAGTTTTGCGAATGAATAAATTATTAGGATTTAAATTTTTAGATGAATCTATCTTAAATGTAAAAATGACTTTGATCACCAATGTCTTTGTCTCCTTTCAGGTCAAAGTGTGCATTTAATACAAGTTATACATGCAATAGCTTGGATGTTTCACTGCTCACACTAAAGCCGTGGTCAGAGAATTGATGCATGCAAAATTTGTTCAGATGACTGTGCAAAGAAAAAAAAGGCAGGATAAACCTAGATGCTACACTAACAAAGTAAGGGATTCCTCCATGTTTTAAACCTCTGTACAGACAGGTAATTACATTTTTTAATCTTCTATTAGACTCGTGCATTGATATGTTGTAAATTCACTGGTCAGCATTCACCAAGCTTGAACTTTGGAAAGCAGCAAAATGTGAAATTTGTTTTGCACAAGCTCTTAGTTAGGGTTTGGCATATTTGTATGTGTATGAATGACCATACAGTATATAATGACCTTAATGACCATATATTGTATTTCCCATAGTAAAAGCACAGCCTGATCTGACATGCTGGAGAAGACACTTGTGAACAAAGTGTTTTTAAATTTTTAATTTCGTCATAGAAAAGTGTTCTTGGAGCTTCATAAAAATTGTTTTGATCGTATTTTTCTGGACTTTGAACATCTATGGACAATTTTTGTATACGGAGGATTAGAGAGCTCTTCAGATTTCATTTACAATGTCTTAATTTGTGGTCTGAAGATGAACCAATGTCTCAGGAGGGTTTAGAGCGACATGAGGGTGGGTAAATAGTAATGATCTTTTTTTTTCATGTTGAGTTGAACTAACCTATTAGGGTATAGTATTCTTGGTCTTGTTTATTTTTCATTGACTATACAATATACAGCTGCATCAGACACAAAAATGTCTAGTTTTGGGATCAAGCAGCAATCTTAAATGACTTTTCCGTTCAGGTGCAGCAGGTTTGTAGGAAGATTGAGGCATTTTTCTCTGTTTCCAGCTTCTGGAATCTTCCAAAAGTGACCGTTTCCATTTTCCCTGTCATTTTCCTCATCATCTCATGCAGACTGCTTGGCCAGAAGTGGTGACGAAGGACAAATTTAAGGTGACATGCTGCAGATCCACCTGGCAAACCACACAGGTGAGATCTGGCTTTTCACTTTACAGAATTACCAACTAGTAGCCTGCTATTGTCATCTGGTTTGGAGTGTTTTACAGGATGCTGGGTGTTTCAGCATAGTTTAGGCTTGAAATATAAGGAGGACTTGCTAGAAACGTAAAGGAAATGGAAGGACTGTTGAATTGCCACACAAGCTTGCTACAATAATCTTGTACTTTCTGACTAAATTACTGTTATTATTCTGTCTTGGTTAATAGACGTGCTGTTTTTGCTCCTTTGTGTACAAATTTCTGAAAGTTTTAATTCGATCTTTGACTTTTGAAGGCAATGAACAGAATAAATCATTCAGCTTAGTGATATGGAAGTGTAATGCAAAACCTCCCTAGAGCTGTTTTATTTTTGTTTCCCTGAAAACACACACACACACACCCTGAAAAGTTCATCAGCCAGTGCTTAATTTCCACGGTACTTTGGAGTAGTGAATACCTGTGTGTGTGTGTGTGTGTGTGTGTGTGTGTGTGTGTGTGTGTGTGTGTGTGTGTGTGTGTGTGTGTGCGTGTGCGCGTGTGTGAGAGAGAGAGCAGCGGGCAAAGCTGCATAAATGTTGTCACTTTCAACCAATCAGCTTTCTTACATTTATAATCACTCTCATTGGTTGGTGATTATGGTTTCGTGCTGTTAACAGCGAAAATAATGGCATAGTGGCCTACCTAAATAATACTTGTATTTTCAAATCACTAAAAAAGCGGTCAAGCATTTATTATTATTTTTTTTTAACCACATAAATTTGATAATGAGCCTGATCAAGAGAAGATGAAACAGCACCCCGAATCAGGAGAGCGGGAAATGGAAGCAAAGTGATCTCAAGTTAGCCGGAAAACATGACATATGAGAAGATTCTTCTTCTTGAAGATTAGACAGAGTGGCACATAACGTTTGGCACATAATAGTGAAGTGAACCGAATGTCAGTGGTGATAGTAAACTGATAGTGATGTTTCATAAGAATTATGTTTGTTTTTTTGGCCATTATATTGCACAAAATAATTAGACTGTTCAGAAATGTAATGCTTTTTTCGCAATAACCGTTCAAGAGTCATGTTCCAGGAAAACTGAAATTGTGTGGTGGACGTCGGTTGCGGGAGCTTTTATTTCTTGCTTTCGTTCCTGAAATTATTCATTTACAAATGAAGCACTGCCATCAGCCAATCAAGCATTTCACAGTCCTGTACTTAGATTATATACTCATCCCAATACTTATGAAAATGTTAAGCAACCACTTGTAAAAAACAAACAAAATTAAATTATAGGTTAAAATGTGACAGTTAAAATGATACATTTAATACAATTAATATTATAAATGTAATATAATTTTTAATTAATAAAGCTTATCGATCTAATATTTTAATTTTTATTACATTTTATAAAAGGTTAAAATAATATTTAATGCAATTTTTTTTTTCTGAAACAAATTTCGTCAACATAACAAATGTCATCTTATTTTTGTATGGTTGAAAAACAGGGCTTATTCCACCAAATATGAATTGAAATGAACTCTTCTAAAATTAAAATTGTTATAGTGTCCAAAAAATAAATATGCTTGTCAAAAAGGTTGCTGGACATTTTTTTTGCTTGATTGTTATTTTAAACAGTTGTTATTTTATGCTGTATTTTTTTATTATTTTAAATGTATTTAGTAGTTGCTGAACTAAATTACCTAAGCAAAAAATGTTTTACTTAAATACATAGCTACAATTTGTAAGTCCAGAGACAATCAGAAATCCCAAGTGGTGTTTGAAGTTTTCCCATTGCGTTATATGTAGTATTTGTTTCCTGTTATGATATAATTGTCTTGCAACTGAGATTAGTTGTTCACATCTTTTAGCTCCTTTGCCAGCTGAGCATCTGCATTGTGATTAATACCATTTATAAATATTAGTTCATATAAAATATTCTCCAGATCTCCTGTAGAGTAAATCAGCTGTAGTGAGTATGAAGCGAGCTGAAGAGAACATTGAGGGCTCAAGTGGTCAGAATGTCTGCAGGCTCTAATCTGCTTCAAGCTGCGAGGTCCAGCCACGTCTCTGAAGCCTTTCATTTACGGTTTATTTTCATCCCTTTATTGGACGGAGTTTCCCTCTGCCAAGGCAAAGACGAGCCCTCAACAATTACCATGTGCTCCTTCTCTCTCCCTGGGTTTTGTAGTCTGTTGTCTTTAAAGGCTGCATATTTGTACAGTATGGGGTTAATGTAATATATATTCTTGTTTTTAAGATAAATTAAGCATCATGTTCAATATGCATTACACTTCGTGTCGTGTAATCCTTCAGAAGGCATATGCTGATTTGAGGTGTGTTCGTGGCATGTTGAAATGATCGTAATTACGAGATTCCCACTAGTAAAAAAGCATTTATGTCCTTGTAGGACTCATAATTACAGCTTTTAAACTAGGAATTTTCTCCAACTTGCCTCCTGATCATCAAAATTTTAATCCTTTTTAAACATTTACCAAGTTCAAGATTTTTTCACAGTGTTTCCTTTTTTTTGCTAGAATAGAAGCAGTTATAATAATTTTGACCTTAAAATCTTTTTTTTAAATTAATAACTGCTTTTATCCTAGCTGAAATAAAACAAATAAGACTTTCTCCTGAAGAAAAAAAACATTATCAAACATACTGTTAAAATTCCCTTGCTTTGTTAAACATCATTTGGGAAATATTTAAAAATATTCTGTTTTGGAATAAATGTCGCAATTATTGGAAAAATGTATTATTATTTTTGTATTAATATTTGTTTTTTTTTCTTTTCATTGAATTTGTATGCTTAAGGTGATATATTAACCAAACCTCTTCTCTGAGTGTGATACGCCTGAAACATTTTTGTAGAAGTAGATGGAGCTGATTTAATGCAAAGGCCTGAATGTCTAAAATTCACTTGAGCTCTGCAGCTAAACTTCCTGTGAACAGAGATGAAACTAAACACGGAACATTTACAGTTGAAAAGTCTCATGCTTTTAATGTTGTGCAGAGAATTTGTAGAAGAAGAGAAAGTATGTTTAAGAAGAGAAAGTATGTTTGGGTGCAGCCGCCGGAGACTGGAGAATGATTGATAAGTGATGAATTCCACTAAACTCCACCTGTTAATATCAGCGGTGTTTAAATTCTTGTGTCACACCTCCTTAATGCAATTCTTGAAATAAACTGAGGATACAAAGAATTCTGTTCATCAAATTATTCATTTGTACCTAATAAATTACTAATATTTTGACATTGAAGAAAACCCTCTTCAGACCTTTTTTAATTGAACATGCGTGGAGTTGATTATATATTCCAACACAATACACTTGGTCGGTCTCCCTTTCTTCCATCCTTGTGAAACACCAAATATTTTAATATTGTTTCACCGAGATCATCCTTCTAAGGCCGTTGACTTTAGCTTTGAGAGTTTCATTTGATTCCTGCAGGTCTGATACAGCCCTTTAAAGAGAGTGCAGTCAGCTATCATGATCCTGTGTCTGAGATTTGACAGCCTCTTCTTTTTCCAAAAATTAACGCACCATTGTCTGGAGAGATTAAAAATCTTCCTCAAACATATACATTCTTTCATGTGTAGTTGTAAGAATCTTGTTCGAAGTCTTTTCCCATGCTGGAGTTATGTCTTTGTCAACGGTCTTCATTTGGCTTTAACTGACCAGAGCTTTTAGAGGCTTTCAGTTCCTTTAAAGTCATTCTTGTGCATTAAAATGTAGACAGAGTACTGAAAAAAGTTCAATAAGATATTCAGACAGCAGGGATATGAAATTAAAGTTAAAGACGGCAACCTTTGTGAAGTTCATGTGGAGGAGCTCAGCAAAACACGTCTACTCCATGCAACCTTCTATAGCTCCCCCCTACCATATTCTGTAAACAAATTCATTCTTGTTCATCATCCATATGTACCTTCGGCTTTCCGCTTTCTACTAATATCAAGGCTCTGTTGGAATTTAAGAGTTGTTGGCTTGATTCTTGTCTTACAGACAAATTTGTTGAGACTCATGGAGCCAGTGAAATGAGTAAGACCTCTACTGTACACCTGATACCATGGTATAAGTGTGTGAAAGGCTGTAATCACCAGCTTCTGGATCCAGGTGTGCAGTTGGAAAGAATTGGAGGGATCCACATCTCAAACCCAAACCCTCATTTTACACAGGAATGTTCCAAACGCTTTGGGCTTCAGCAGATGACCTTTCAGAGTTTGTGTCACTATTGTGTCACAGAACCAGAAATCATTCAAAACCCCTGGGGCCTCATGTATCAACGCTGCGTATGTACAAAAACTACGCCAGGTTTCACGCTCAGAATCGCTCACGTTTGGATTTACTAACAATGAACTGAACGTGGGAATGTGCGCAGCTCCACGCCAGCTTTATGGCTGGCGTACACACATTTTTTGTGCGTGTCTGTTTTATTTCCATTGGCGGCTCCTAGAGGCAGTTTTGTTAAATTGCTCTCTACAAAGTGTCTTTGAGCCTTACAATGGCAGCTGTATGAGACGGGTTCAGCAGGTATATAAGATTTCCATACCATACAGTTGACCAGCCAAACATTAAAGCGCAATTTGCAGCGGTCGCCTGTTTTCCTAATGTAATCTAATCTGATGTACTGCACGCACATTGCTATAAAGGCACCACCTGAAGATGAATTTGCATGCGTGAATCAGAAACATTTCCATTCAATAAATGTGCAAATAAAATATGATGCACAAACTTATTAAGGATTCCTACTTGTCTTTCTTGTGATAAATAGGCAAAATCTGATATGTAGCGGGGAAAAAAAGAAGAAAGAGTTCATCAGACGCTGGATTCGAACCGAGTTCATGCTCGAACGTGTCAAAACATGTTAACGTGCGTTTTACGAGCTGCGCCACTGAGAATATTAATATAACGGTACTACAACATTTTACACCTATAAATCACACTATTTTGCTTTTAACTCCACAGTGCGATGTTCAGATCCAACTGTGTCAACCGCATCTGCTAAACTCT